AGATGTGTATAAGGTGATAACCTAGGTCTGGCCCTACCTTTTTTGTACAGGCCTATGAGATGACCCTATCCTACTTACACAGGAATTTGTTACTGCCCGTTTAATGAAAGCCTAGCCTGGTGAGTTAGTAACACCAGGAATGTGTAACTCCCTGTTGGGTAATGTACAGGCTTATATAGGCCTATTCATAGGATTAATATTAATAATATTTAGAAAAAATTTTCCTTACTAATTATCTAAGTACTTCTGGTGGATCGCTTCACTGAAAAGGAAGAGAAGAAGGAATGTAGTGTGCGCTGCTCCTTACGTCATCAGATGAAAAAGTTTTTGCGCATGCGCATGTAAATATAACGTTTACTAATTTGTTCACGGCAATGTAAATATATCCACTTCCTTAAAAAATACCAAAAATAACACCAATAATTATCTCTGAAATTAATATATGTCGGTAGGCCTACTGTAGGCCTCATACGAATTTGACAAGATACATATTACCTTCCAAGTATGATAAGTTACAGATTTTTGTGATTAAAATAATAATCGGTATATGTTTAAAACAGGGGTTTAATCTATTTTGACATTAATACTGAATCCAGGAAAGAATTGTGAATTATTCATTATATATTAAAATTCACAATACTGTTTTACATTGGGCCTGTAACCAAATAATCGTCAACATTAGCCAGGGACTAATCAATTTCTTTCGATAAATTCTTTAAGGCCAACTATTTAATTTAATTATAGATTGACTATCCAATATATAAATAAAATTAACACTATATTATAATATATTAAGTTATTCAGCATGTACCATTTTGCACTCCCTAATCATACACAATGTAAAATTCACTTTAAAATTGTGTATAAAATACCTAGGCTTCATAAAATCTATCCAAGATACATATTCGCTTCCAAACATGGTCAGCTATAGATTTTTTTTTCTTTTGATTTACTAATGGCGTACTTGTAGGGTGTTATACTATAGCGGCATCATAACTAAAACTTATTGCACAATTAAATGTGCCATACATGAACAAAGTAATGAAAGTAAACAATTAAATAAGCAAATTTTAGATGTAAGGCAGATCCCTCATATCATGTCCATGCTGAAATTATAATCTGTAACATGTGTACGGAGCCACACATAATGTTGGTGTTACCATGGTGTAATGAAATATTTACATGTTGTAGGAGATGTTGTTAATTCCAGTGATATGGTTAAAACTCACATTATTGTATGTGTTTATGAATTTGCCTTGGTGGCCGGGGAAAAATATAGGGCTAGGCCTACAAAAAATAGTTCTTCGTAGTTGAGAAATTGAATTACTAAACTAAAATGTTAAAATATATTTTAAAATCCTGTGTGATTTAAGAGCATGCTGATGTTAACGAATACACGATTTTAACACCTGTGTATTTATCTGTCTTTGCTAGACGTTACCTTACACTAGGCCTAATGGAGAGTGAATTACATAGGCCTACAATACGCCCAATAAAATCAAAGCCACTTAGCTTCTGTTGTGACTGCTATGCATTTAAAGAAACAATTAATTGTATAAATAAAATTAAAATTCACAATACTTTTAAATGAAATATTGAGAAACATTAATAATGCACCCCATACCATGTAAAATTCAATGTTAAAATCGACTATTGAAAAAATACAAATGAATTATTATGGGCCTAGGTAGGTAGGTCAAAGCCTTAAATTATAATCTCGACTATGTGCATATTCGCTTCCAATGATGATATTAAGTTACACATTTTTGTTATTTATTAATTACATTCTTGTATGCACACTCTGAGTAGAATTTAATATTGAGTACCGGTATTAAAAAAATACCAAAAATAATCAACAATAATTATCTCTATAAATTAATATATGCCGAACTCAGCAAGGTACATATTACCTTCCAAGGATGATAAGTTACAGATTTTTGTAATTTAACGGCGTTCTTGTATTGGGTTTTATAGTATAGCAGCATCATATCTAAGACTTATTTCATGTACAGACCTAAAAATGTAGTGAAATGCACACATTTTTAATACATGGTGAATACCTAATAATAACAGTAATAAATAAAATATTAAATAATAATAATAATAATAATAATAATAATAATAATAATAATAATAAAAATATGATAATAAATATTTGAGAAAAACGTAGTATTCACCATTTTCCATTCTTGATCTCCCTCCCTATTCCTACATCATGTATTATTGAGTATTGAAAAAATACCAAAATAACACCAATAATTATCTCTGTGAATTAATATATGTCGGTAGGCCTAGGCCTCATACGAATTCGACAAGATACATATTACCTTCCAAAGATGATAAGTTACAGATTTTTGTGATTAAAATAATAATCGGTATATGTTTAAAACAGGGGTTTAATATATTTTGACATTAATACTGAATCCAGGAAAGAGTTGTGAATTTATCTTTATATATTAAAATTCACAATACTGTTTTACATTGGGCCTGTAATCAAATAATCGTCAACATTAGCCAGGGGCTAATCAATTTCTTTCGATAAATTCTATAGATTGACTATCCAATATATAAATAAAATAAACACAATATTATAATATTATTCAGTTATTCAGCATGTTCCATCTTGCACTCCCTAATCATATACACAAAGTAAAATTCACTTTAAAATTGCGTATAAAAAACCTAGGCTTCATAAAATGTATCCAAGATACCGATACATATTCGCTTCCAAACATGGTCAGCTATAGATTTTTTTTCTTTTGATTTAATAATGGCGTACTTGTAGGGTAGTATACTATAGCGCATCATAACTAAAACGTATTGCACAATTCA